CTATTTATAACATAAAATGTTGTTTTTATTATTATCTAAATTAATACAAAATAATATGATAGTCATTTTGTTTAAATTTGCATTAAATCTATTTAAAATATTTAATCTATAAAGTAAATATAAATTATAAAATACAAAATATAAAAAAATAATTACAAATATTAAATTATGAAACATTTTATTAAAAATCAATATATATCATTTCAATATTTGATGTAAATATGTGACCCTGGAGCACAAAAGCAGTCTTAAGTCGCTGGGGTATGTTTGTAGCAATAGCCAAAAATACATTGTATGGGTCAAAATTATAGATTTTTCTGTTATGCCAAAAATCATTAGGATATTAAGTAAAGATCATGTTACATGAAGATATTTTGTAAATGTCCTACCGTAAATATATCAAAACTTAATTTTTGATTAGTAATATGCATTGCTAAGAACTTCATTTGGACAAATTTAAAGGAGATTTTCTCAGTATTTTAATTTTTTTGCACCCTCAGATTCCAGATTTTCAAATAGTTGTATCTCTGCCAAATATTGTCCTATCCTAACAAACCATACATCGATGGAAAGCTTATTTATTCAGCTGTACATTTCGAAAAAATTGACACTTAAGACTGGTTTTGTGGTCCAGGGTCACATATATCATTTAATGATTGATGATTGATTTAATACATAATTTAATCTATAATATATCTATAATCTATAATAATTTTGTATTACATTAGGTATTAGGTTTAATTTATTTTAAATAAAATATTTAAATCTATTACATTATATTAGAAATAGCAATAAAGTATTCAAGATTGTCATGTAATTTATCGTTTTTTAATGTGTGTACTGACAGTAAATGTGTTTTTATCTGCAGCAAGCAATAAAGAGCGACTCCATTGATTCCACAAACGCTGACTCCAGAGACACCTTACATATCCCGAGCAAACCCTGCTCCAGTGATAACCTTCATCTCAAAGTACCCAGCATTCCCCTCACCGGTGGATCCGCCCCGTGTTCGCCCCAGGCCTCACCTCCCCCTCCCCTCCGCAACCGGACAGCGAGCGTACAAACAAACAGACACGTGTACAGCCAGCGCAGCATCCCCTGTCGACAAGCCGCGTACGAGACGCAATCTAGAAAACCTCTAGAAATAACGCACACACATCCACAAACCAAACTACAGGATTCGCATGAGGTGGCCCGACTCAACACGAATGTTCCCCAAAGAAGAGCCTCTCAGCGGGTGGCACGCAACCATAACTTGTCCCCTTATGAACCGCCCTTCTGTTCTGAAGCCCAGTCTCAAGAATCATTACACATTGGGGCATCCCGCCAGCCGGGCACCAGCGCTCAATGTCTACGGAAGTACAACAGTATGGAAAATAATGGCTTCCTGTCTCAACTCCAAGTCCCTCGGCGTCACTCGACGCATGGGGAAGAGTTACTACTTCAGCAGCAGCCACCTGGACCTTCTCCAACGCCTAAGAAGGAGAAAATGAGTCCGCCCTGCATCTCCATCGACCCTCCCACCGACGCAGAGTTTCTGTCTCCAGCAGTCAGTCAGGAGCACAGCAACGTCCTAAGACGGCGGACACCATCCTTCGACTCCGCACTACCACGGGAGTCCATAGATCCTCCTGACATGCAGGATGAACCTCATTTGCCAAGTCGTTTGCCCCTCCCACAATTCTCTTTTGACCAATCGGATGTAAGTTCGCTGAGCAGCCTGTCGGAACTGCTTTCGGATAGTGACCAGTCGACGCACTCCTTCCCTCCCGAGGCTCAGAGTCCACTCAGGAAGAAGGTATTGGTCAGAATGGCCAGCACTAGGGATCCAGGAAATGAGGATTCGTTTGCCTAGGCGACCGCGCACGGAGGAAGCCACTCGCGCATTTCGCCTCTTCGCAAAGTATTTTAATAACAGGAAGAGGCGGTGTCGGCAAAAGTATGCAAATGTGTTTCTGATGGAACTGATGTTTTTTTGCCTGATCATATTGATTAGGGAACTTTTATTAGTGTTCATCACACACACTGATGTTGTGACGTTTTATGTGAGTTCATATGAACATCCATCACAGAAACATGTTGCATCGTGGCATATGATTATTGCACATGACCGTGCAATTTTAACCCTCATATTTTGTTTGGGGTCTGAAAAGTTGATAGTTTCATAGCTCTAAAAGTGTCATTTAAAGTTATCCTGTAAAGCCTGGCAAATTAAATCTAAGTTTATTGAAGTTTTAGACAAAATATTAAAAAATAAATAAATTTGCATATGTGTTTTTGTTTATTTGTTTATTTGAGGGGGCACAGTTGCTTCAGTCCAGTAAATGTATAAAATGTAACCATTATTTTTAAGTTTACTTGCATCAGTAAATATTTTACTGCAAAAAGACACGTGAACCACATCCTGAAGGAGGAAGCATTGATGGATTGTTTTTGTTTTTTAATTTTGACACAAATTGTGATCCAGCATTTGTACGAATCATGCAGAAGTATAGTTTTGCGTTTTAAAAGATTAGATTTCCTTCTTGCACTGGCAAAAAATAACACTCAATATGTCTTGAGAAATGATAAAAAATCTATTTTATTTAAATTTTTTACATTTATTTTATTCTTTTTTTTTTTTATCAGATTGACCCCAAACAGAAATAACATTATTGTATTGTGTAATAATTAACTGACGTGCATGCCAAATTTGTGGTCAATCAGAGGGTTCAACTTCAGTAATATCTGTTTTGATTCAGTCTGAATAAAAACTCAGAATAAAATAATTTGAAGGGAAATGAGTTATTATTAGTAAGTCAATCTCAACAGAACATGAGGGTTAAATGGCAGCACTATATTTGCCATCTTCAAGCAAACCCTTGCGTCACATGATTAATTAACTTTAAAGTCATGCCCTAATTGTAACACCCTATTGTCTTACAGAGTATATGGCGCACAGATATATTTGAGCTGAAACATGTTTCATAATGCAGATTGTGTAGCTGAATGAATGAGATGATTATTGTATATATGTGTGGCATGTGATATTTTTGGTAAGGGTCAGATTTTTACATGTTGTTGGCCTTCAGGAAGAATCGTGTTAAAGGAATGTTCCGGGTTCAAGTTCTACATCTATGCTGCAGATTAATACAGAAAATCATTTTGATTAGTTCCTCAGTTTGTGTGTACAGTGATGCAGTGGAAGTCTATGGGGAAAAGCATTGCAGCAGGATAAAATAGACACGGTTTTGAAACTATAGTCATAAGAGTTTAGCATTGTGTCGACATGACACTAGTGTAATAACATTTCCTAATAACCCTGTCTATGCAAAGTTATATCCAGTTTTTCCAGTTTTCACTCAGAAGGTAATACATTTCACATGGCAAGTAACACATTGAAGTAAACATGAAATTTTGAAGTAGAACTGAAATATAATAATATTGAAATAGTATTTTCTTGTAAAATGTGCTACAATTTTACAGTCTGTGGTGGACTTGGAGTGCCGCTTTAAAGCAAAATCAATAAATCAATCATGTATTAATTCAAAATAAAACTGTAAATAATTTTTTCAAATTGACAAATACACATATTTAAAAGAGTTTAATTTATCTTGTAACGTAGTTAAATGTAATAATTAATAACACATGCAAAGATACTAGTAGGTAGCGACCAGAAATTCATCTTGTACAGAAATAACTTTTTCTTTAAACCCTCTGAAATATTTTCCCCTTTGACTTTCATTGTAAAAGCATTACTGCAAACACGTCTTTATATGAATTTTAAGTGTTCTTTCTTTTGAACTGTATTTCACTGACATGCTTCATGTAAACTTTCAATCAGGACATTTATTTATTTATTCCATGCACAAGCATAGATATTTCCAAAGAAATGAGCTAGTATGAATGCTAACACTTATTTCGGTTTGACAACATTGGTGTTTTGGATCATCAAGGGATGAATTCAGTAATAATTAGCCCATGAACATTTACATTTAGGCAAAGTATTGAATAGCATTATCATTATTTCCCTTCTTGTCAGTGTTGCAGTATTTACAACAACATGACGTTTGTTTAGTACCGGTGTCATTTCCTCACATAAAGACAGACGTGCATCTAAAGTTCCCTGCATTACCAGTCAAACATGGGCTTTTCACACTTAACCTTGGGTTAACAACTCTTTTAAACCTCAGATTAAGGCCACTTTTAATCCTGGATTAATAAAATTCCCATTTTGACATGACAGGATTTGACAGGAATCCCCAAAAAAATGTATCAAGTTTTCTACAAACATATAAGCAGATCATAATAAATGTTTCTTGAGCAGCAAATCAGCATATTAGAATGATTTTTGAAGAATCATGTGACACTGAAGACTGCAGTAATGATGAACAGAAAACTATGGGGAAAAAAAACTTTTTTTTTTACCAACCACAATCTTTTAAACAGTAGTGTTGTACATTTCCACAGATAAATAAGCAGTTATTAGAACAGGTCACATACATTATCCTGGGGTTTCAAAAAATAGATTTTCAAGTGTGAAAAGCCCTGTAAAAATAGTGATTGATTGATTGATTGATTGCAGTTTACGCATTCTCAGACTCATGTTAATACATATTATTATGTATTGGCATTATTATGCCTGGCATATCTTAAAACATTTATTTTATGATTAACTAGAGTGTAATTGAGGTATTTGGGAAAACCAAGGGCTGCTAAATATAAATGAGTATCGCTGTATTGAGGTCAGGATATGTGTCATGAGATCCAGAATGCTGTTTGACTGCTTCATGATGCTTTTGGGTGCATCTACAGATGAGAGCATCCATTGAGTATCAAGATACATTTAGTTGAAAAACTATGGACATTAAACAGTTAGAGACTGTTAACTACTTGAAAAGATTTCTATTTTGCTCCCAATGCTGTGTTTCCTGTAGACTGTAATCCATCGCCACTATGTGTGAAACCTTAAGAGACAGATCAGTGTGTAAACAGGGCAAAATGCTATTACTTTCCAATAATAGGATACAAAATAGGGCTTAAAATAACTTCAATAATAAAAGGAATATAAAAAAAATAATAATAAAACTATGTGTCAGTGAAAGGAGGCATTTTGCCGAAATCTTTCATTTGGGGGGGTTTAGTTTGGGCTCAAATGTTGGTTTGTAGTTATTGCTAAACTTATATGTCCCATAAAGTAACAAAAAATATATATTTTTTTCCCTTAATGTAACCTTAATAACAGGGTTGAATGGTTGACGTTTGAAACTAGCTATTGGCATGCTGTGAATTTTATGTTAGCTAATAGTTTATTAAACATATTAATAGCTCTTTGTCTGAAGAACATGACATTTTTATATTTATTTATTTTACAAAAAAGCAACAGGACACTAGTTTGCACCCTATTTGTGGAGAATCCCATCCTCCAAACTTCACTTGCAAGGTTTTTGTCATCCAGCTTATTCATATTGGTTTTTGAAACGCAAACAATACTGTACCTTGTAATATATCCCAATGTATTTGAAATGATAAACAAGGACAGCACCAGAAAGCTTCTGTGTGTTGACCTGGTAATAATAGCATGTATATCAATCTAACTGTATCTTGCCCTTATTTCTGTTGTTTTTTCTTAGGCATAATAAAGCACACTACCATAAGGGACACACTGTATTATAAATCTAGTTGCAAATTCAAGAATAGCTACATACCTATAAACATTTTATAGCTTCAGATTTCTTTTCAAGGGCAACTTATGGCATTTAGGTTTGTGGAAACATGAAAGTCTGCTTATTAAACTGGATTGATTGAAATGATTTAAGAGGAAAGCCGTCTTTTGATGCTTAAACTTAAAGCATTGTCTCAAAGAGAATGTTTTTTCACTGATACACAGCAAAGGCTTCACCAAACATTGTATTATCATAAATGGGCAATGTTTGTATTATTATTTTATCTTTTGTAACAAAAACTTATTTTAGTATCATTTTTATTTTAGATTTTAAGATTATTTATTATTTTTATAATTAATATTAATATTATTTATATTATTAGTATTTATTCATATTTTTAATTAGTTTAAATTTTTATATTTTCAGTTTTCATTCAAGTAATTTTGATGAAGGCTTTTGTTATTTTCATTCATTTTATATTTCTATATATAGCATTCATTTATTTGCATTTCAGTTATAGTTTGTGATTTTAGTTCTTAAAATTACATCAAATTACTTTTCAAGTTTTTCATGTAATATTGCTATCTTGTTTCAGCTTTATTTCAATCAGTGAATGTTTAAATATATATATATATATATACAGCACGAGCAGCACGAGCCACAGTCATAAATTAGTTTACAGTTTTTCACCTTCTATCAGAATTACCTAAGAATTAAAATCACCCAAAAATGAAAATTCTGTCTTATTTACTCACTTATTGTGTTATTCCAAAACTGCATGCTGTTATTATATTTTTTCTGTGGAATAGAGTTTTGTCATTTTGGAATCCCAGCACATGAAATGGCATCATCCAGCAGTCTGCTTCACTGTACTGATTCATCTTTATTCAGGACCTCATGGTACTTTATATGTCATCTTAAAGACTTTAATAACCACTGTAACATCTTCCATTAACAAAATATAACAATTACATCTGATTCAGTGAGAATTTGTGGCATTTTACCATATCATGCAATTAGATGGAATTAGAGCAAGCACACGCATTCCCACACACACTTACACACACACACACACACACACACACACACACATATGCACAAGTATGCTTGTTCAATAATCAATGTTCAGTAATCTCAGTTATTTCATCTGGAATGTCTCTGACTGCTACTAGAGTCCAACAGCAAACACACTTTTTTGCTCATTCTCTTC